GAAGCGAGTCAGACAATTCCTCTTCTTAGTACATTATCACAATGGACATTGGGTGCGCCATAGTGAGCTTCCTATTTCCAATTGTCATTACAAGACTCATGAAGAAATACACTAGAACACTTTATTAGCTGATTTTTATGAAAGATGTGTATATTCTGCTGTAAAAGCCAAAAACTTGTCCCAGGGTTCTTCTGTCCTCATGCTGCAGAGAAACAGATGGAGTCTTATTACTAATATGTTTCTGAATGGTCAGGCCTCCAAGCACCAGACAAATTATCAGGCAACCATGCCACCTAGTGGAACCATTCTGCCACTACTCCCAAAGCCAAGCTCTACCTAATAGTACAATGCTGGTTTTGTTGTAGGGACAGATATAGTTTTAGTATAACTGACTATTTACTCTTCACTGGGGAGGTTTCCCTGGGACCTGTACCAGAAAGTCCTTGGCAGACCTGGAACAAACTGGCTGGGATTACAGTATATCACCAACCCTTGCAATCTCTAATGAAGAGCTGGAGTGGCCAGACAAGAGGAAGTCTGGACAGAGGTGCTCAGCACATCATCCTTTAACGTAGACCTGTTAGGAGCGGAATATGGAGGGTGCCATTGCTAATCTCCTCCGAAGGATAATCTGTTATAATAAGTGAAATAAGTGAAAAAAATGCAGCGCAACAATAAAATAAATATAATGGTGCTTGCAACCTTATACGTGCGTATATAAATGGTGACAATCAATCTGCCATGCTTCTGAGAATCAATAGACTCCCTCAAGAGTTGGTTCTGGCCAGTTCAGTGGATTGCTTCAAAAAAAGGCCTGGATTTTTTTTAGATACACCGAATATGACTGGTTACTAACATTTATAGGTAAAGTTGATCCAGGGAATATCCGATTGCCTCTCGGGGGATCAGGAAGGAAGTTTTTTCTCAGCAGGAGCAAATTGGATCATGCTTTGCTGGGTTAATTTGCCTTCCTCTGGATCAACTGTGGGTGTAGGATTATAACTTTTTTTTTTTTTCTATGGTGGAACTGTATGGGCTTTTGTCTTTTTTCAGCCAGACTAACTATGTAACTATGTAATATATGCTACTCATAATCTCTTCCAATAAGTAGATATAAACTCCCATAGATTCTGTACATAACCCAGTGCTATGAATACAACATAAATCATGCAATAAAATAAATAATGATTTGTAGTGAACTGTCCCTTTAAATCCATAATCACATCACGTGGATCAGTGTAGTCAAACTTCCTTTTTATCATGATACAAATACACCAAAAAAAGTGCCAATTTAATACAATCTCAATAATGGTGAACTGTCCCTTTAAATACAGAGTACTTCACGTGGACCAGTGTTGTCACACTACTGTACGTGTACGGTGCTCCTGTGTCACCCCTTAGTGCTCTTCCACCTCCAACACACTTTTGCGCTCACCTCCAAGTTTGACCCGTAATGACAGGTCAAACTGAATTTTTCCCTTTTAACTCTGGGAGGGTATACTGGTACACAGATCTTCCCCCACACTTTGCCAGTACTTTTAAGCAGATACAAATCGCTCCGTATCCATGTAAAAAAATGCTCATTATAGTGTGTATGTATGCTAAGATCATATACATACTGACAATCTGTTATGCAGACTCTGTTTTTGGAGGCCCAGAGGAGGTATGCAGATCAGGGAACTTAGAGCGGAGTTCCAGACGTTTTTTTGTTTATTAAAAGTCAAAACTTCAAAAAAAATATATAGGTTGCGCTTAAATACTTGCAAAAGTAGAACAAGAAAATAAATAACAAAACAATAAGAAACAATATATAAATCAAAATAAAATCCAGCAAAAACGAAAAAGTCCAAAAGTTCAAATAATCAATAATGTCCAAAATAATTCATCACCAAGTAAATCTACCACCAAAAATGGTTAAATAGAACTCACCAGAGTAATATGCTGATTGTTGAAAAACCAGCATATAGTACTTGTTATTCTGGGAGAAATGAATAATATGGTGATAACAACACTGAAGAAATGAGGGAAGAACTCCAACAGATGATGTGCTGCAAAGTAGAAAATCCACTCCAAAAGTGATTTAGTATTCAAACTGAGAGATGATCAGACTGTCACTCAAAAGAAAAAAGCGAACAATCATGGTGCAGTATGTTTTAAAAAGCATCAAACTTTAATAAAGAAATGCACTTACAAGCAAGGTGTCCAGACTGACACCAGTGTAAACAGCATGTATAATGAATATAGGCGACTCAGACCCAGCCAAACATGCACATGCAACGTGCAGACAAACCAGGAGTATTCTGAACCTCACATCCAAAGGCACCGCCCTAAGCTTTTCGTCATCGACGTCCTCACGGAGCGGATCATCCCTCATTTCTTCAGTGTTGTTATCACCATATTATTCATTTCTCCCAAAATAACAAGTACTATATGCTGGTTTTTCAACAATCAGCATATTACTCTGGTGAGTTCTATTTAACCATTTTTGGTGGTGGATTTACTTGGTGATGAATTATTTTGGACATTATTGATTATTTGAACTTTTGGACTTTTTCGTTTTTGCTGGGTTTTTATTTTGATTTATAATATTGTTTCTTATTGTTTTGTTATTTATTTTCTTGTTATACTTTTGCATGTATTTAAGCGCAACCTATATTTTTTTTTTTAAGTTTTGTATATCCTATAAGTTTATAGGCTAGGTTTTGCAGCTTACTGTGTTATATAATTTCCATGGCGCTGGTTCTTTATTTATATATTATTAAAAGTCAGCAGAAAAATGTAGCTGCTGACGTTTAATAAACACACACTTATCTGTCCCAGGGTACAGCGATGTATTCACCCGTGTCGTCCCTTTCTTCCCTTTTCCCCTTCTCTCCTCCACGGCGCTGGCATCTCAACTGAGGGCACCAGGCTGTGACAGCTTGCGGCTTCACAGCCAGGTGCCCACTGCGCATGCGCAAGTCACACTGCGCCTCCTAATTGGTCCAGCAGTCTTCTGGGACCTGTGCAAGTTCCCAGGAGACTGCAGGAGGGAGGAGGGGACTGAACTTCCAGCTCACTTCACCGCGGCAAACTGAGCCAGAAAAGGGAGCAGGTACCTGTAAAAAACAGGTATGTGCTCCCCCTCCCCCCCAAAATAAGGGTCTGGCTAAGACATACCTTGACACCACAGGGTACAGTGAGACATTTCTTATTATTCTCTATAGCATGGGTGTCAAACTGGCGGCCATCCAGCTGTTGCCAAACTACAAGTTCCATGAGGCATTGCAAGATTGACAGTTACAAGCATGACTCCCAAAGGCAGAGGCATGATGGGACTTGTAGTTTTGCAACAGCTGGAGGGCTGCCGGTTTGACACCCCTTTTATAGAATAGCCAGTATTTCTTGTAGCAGGTACAGGTTGTTGCATGTTGCAAGTTCCACATTTATCACACCTTAGAGCGGAGTTCCAGAGAAACTGTAAAAAAAATAAAAGCAGTTACAAAATCTGTAGCTGCTGTCCTTTAAAAAACAGCCACTCACCACTCCCTCGATCCCACGGTGTCCTCCCGAAGCCCGTTGCACTGGCTGTCCGGTGTTCCTGGCACGGGCATCTTCAGTGTGGGCACTCTGCTGTGACAGCTTGCTGCTCCACTGGTGCCCACTGCGCATGCACAAGTAGTGCTGCGCTTTCTTTATACTCCCGTAGTCTTCTGGGATCTGCCATATGTCCCAGAAGACTACGGGGCGGGAAGGACAACTTCAGATTCCAATTGCCTAGGCGATCGCAGTGGAAGTGGGAGTCGGTACTTGTCAGTTTCGGGTACCCGCTCCCCCCACACTCCCCAAAGGTGCCAATCCTTAATGAGGAGCGGGGGAACAGTCTTTAAAAAGGAACTTCCCCTTTTGGGTGGAGCTACACTTTAACATTATTATTTACTATAGGTACTTATATAGCGCTGTCGATTTATGCAGCGCTTTAAATATATATACTGTACATTCACATTAGTCCCTAACCCTCAAGGGGGTGTACAATCTAAGGTCCCTAACTCACATTCATACATACACATACTAGGGCCAATTTAGACAGGATCCAATTAACCTACCAGCATGTCTTTGGAGTTTGAGGAAACTGGAGTGAGGGCAGGCACAGGGAGTGCAAACTCCAGGCAGGTGGTGCTGTGGTTGGGATTTGAACCAATGACCCTAGTACTGCCAGGCACTTTGCTGCCCCATAATAAATGACTACACATAGGTCACAATAATAATAAATTACCAATTAAAAGCTGGCCACAATAATAACAAATGACTTATATGTAGCTGGTCACAATAACTAATATCCATATTCAACTGGCTCCAGGCAATTAAAAACTTTTTAAAGCTTAAAAAGAGTATAAATTGAAGAGCCACGCCACTGCTAAGTGGTCCAGATACAACTTTATTCCATTAAAGGTCAAGGGTACAATTCAAAAAGTAGTCAAGGCATTTCGGAGTTCTAAGTACCCCCTTCATCAGGGCTAGAAAGAACATAAAAGGATTTTCATATCAATCTGACATCTATACAGTATCCCCTCCATGGGGTCATAAATAAAACCAAACAGTCAATAGGACAGATTTTTTTTTTTTTATACAATGTGGAGCAAAATTGCAATTGTTAGTAAAATCAACCATAATTCTTGCATAGTTTAAAGGATGAAATTTGACTAGTTGCCATTTTTGCACCAGCTTTTGTAAATCATTTACATTGCATTACACTGAGCATATGGGTGCAAACACTATTCCACCTCATAAATGTATCCATCTAGTATAACAAGAGAAAATAATTTCAGGTACAAGGACTAATGCCAGATAGTGTAAGGGATGAAATTACATGATGCTGCTACAGCTTAAAACACCTATATGAAATGACAGAATTTGGTAGCACAATACTTTGAGGCATGATACTTTCTTTTCCTATTAGTATTTTTTTGTATTATAAATGCCCCCAGTTATGTAGGATTATGAAGAAATATAAAACACTTACCAGCTCGAAGCTCTGAGAGCATCTCAAACGTTTGATGCATATTTCTTCGAACTATATCCACCGGGTCATTCAGAAGGTGTGAGAGTGGAATAATAACGTCACTTTTTAGGAGACCTTCCCTGAAATGGGGAACATAAAATTGTGAAACTAAATCTATACCTTAGAACAGGAAGGCGCTTCTAAGTGCAGTATATCCAGAAGAATCTTTAATAATGACAGTTAGAAACACTTACAAACTCGTAGTTAAAACAGGCTCAATAAAATCATCAGAGTGCAGAGGCTCAATCCACCATGCGAGAACCCGCTGTGGCGGCCAGCAGCTGCAGGGGGAGCTGAGGATCAGATGTCCAAGATGGCCGCCGCAAGTTCCGGGATCACTGGAACGCACGTTGAAGTGCTTGCTTCACAACCGTAAATGACGTGGGCTAGGAACGGGAGTGGAGCGGTGATGCGTTTTCGGAGCATGCGCAGAGCTCCTTCTTCAAGACCGGTCTTGCTTCAACTCCTATAAGTGCTACCCGGTGCCTGTTGTCCAGTGTCTCCTCCATCCCCTGCTGACATCTCTCGGTCCACAGCCTCCTCCATTGATGTGCCCTATACATATCCTCTAAATCTATACCTTAGCACACCCATTCTCAACCTTTTCAACATAGATGAACCCCTGCTAAACATTACTATATCTACAACTCATGATACATTAGTGTGATGGTCTTGTGGTCATTATAACAATAACCCCCTTACAGATAGCTAAAAGATTAATGGTGTCAGTGGGAACTTATCTGAGAGGCAGAAATTGCTGATTGTTAGAGGAACCCCTAGCAACCTCTTGAGGAACCCTAGGGTTCCATGGAACAATGGTTAAGAAACTCAGTACTTGCCTTTATGTCACAGTGGTCATATACTATAAGTGCTACACAACATATTAAGGACAAACATAGTGTATTGATGTGCAAATGGATTATTATGAATGAATACTATAAATACCAGAATAATAAATAGCACACTAAAATTACCAACACCTTGGATAAATGAACATACATCTTACAGGAAGGGCTTTTGTAGACCTATTTGCTGCTTCGGTATCAGTACAGTAGGCATGTTATTTAAGCAAAATTACAATAGCTACAATTACAAGTATCCAACTCAATTCAAAAGTTCAAGCTGTCACTAACAATGTTGAGGTGCAGAATGAACTTGCATAAAGTATATGTATACTGTGCCTCCACTTGATTCAAAGACAGAATAGGCTATAGCTCACCCTACAAACGTATTTCCTGCCACTTTATTGTTTGCCTCCATAGACCCTCTCTGAGACTATGCCACTCTGAAGCTCCAAAGAAGTTTCTTTCTCCTGAATTTCTCCTATATGTATCTAGTGCTTAAAGAATACAATGCTATAAAGCAGCCTTTCTCAACAAGGGTGCCCAGGCACCCTGGGTGCCTTGAGGTTTCTTTAGGGGTGCCTTGGCAAAATGTCTAAAAATTGCCCAAAACTTGTATACAAGCCAATGGCCTGCCTTTTAGTTACACAAAGCCACTGGTTTTCATTGTGCACCATTAAGACCTTCTCTAGCCACCAGAGTCCTGACAACCAATTACATCATCAGTTGATAAGGAGGATGTCAGCTGCCTGCACAGCATCTTAGTTTGACCCCTCTAAAACTGAAGGAGAAGAGAAACACTAGAATACTACTCAGTACCAGTGTGCAATAGTGTATATGGTTTGGAAGAATAAATCACCTCTAAAGTTGGGTGTCCTACATGTGTGGATGTTGCTGCATTATATAAAACTATAGAATAGAATAGTTTTTCCCATTTTATAATAGGGTGTCCTTTTAAAATTATGGACAGTCTAGAGGCACCCCATTTTAGTATGGGGTGCCTCAAGACTGTCCATAACTTTAAAGGGTCCCTCGGGACTGTCTATAATTTTAAAGGGTGCCTTGACTGAAAAAAGGTTGAGAAACACTGCTATAAAATATCCACTTGAAGACCAGGCTTATTCTGACACTTTTTGTTTACATGTAAAAATTATTTTTTTCTTTTTTACTAGAAAGTTACTTAGAACCCCCAAATAATTTTTTTTTTTTTTTTTGCAGAGGCCCTAGAGAATAAAATGGTGATTGTTGCAATTTTAATGTCACATAGTATTTGCGCAGCGGTTTTTTCAAATGCAGTTTTTTTGGAAAAAAATACTACACTTTAATGAAGTTTAATGCAAAAAACATAATGTATAACCCAATGTTTTTGATGGAATATTAAAGATGATGTTACACTGAGTAAATAGATACCTAACATGTCTTGCTTTAAAATTACACACACTCACAGAATTGTGACAAACTACAATACTTAAAAATCTCCATAGGCAATGCTTTAAACATTTTTACAGGTTACCCATTTAGAGTTACAAAGGAGGTCTAGAGCTAGAATTATTGCTCTCGCTATAACGTTTGAGGTGATACCTCACATGTGTGGTGCGAACACCATTTACATATGCATGCGTGACCTATGTATGCGTTCACCTCTGCATGCAAGCATGGGGGGAAGGGGGAGCTATACAAGTTTTTAAAATTATTATTTATTTTATTTTAAAAATTCAAATTTTTATACTGTCCATTTAAATTTTTTTTTTGCTATCACAAGAAATGTAAACATCTTGTGATACCAATAAAGCTATCTATAAAAACCCCAGATCTCTCCTCTACTCTTGAAAGCATAAGGTGAAAAAAAAATTGATCTCATGCTCCCCCCCATACCCAAAAAAATGTTTACATTTGCCCTAACCAAAAGTGACAAGAATACTCGTTGCTTCTGGTCTCCTAAACCATAGAGGTGATTGGAGACGATCCGGTCTCCCAATACCTCTATCAGCATTGGCAGCAGCCACTGGACTGGATCCCGGGCTTCCCGGTGCGCTGGAAAACAAGGTATGGCACCGGTGATCTGGGAGGGGGGGGGGGGAGACTCCTCCCGCTGCTTGTAAAAGATCCCGCTGCTTGTAAAAGTGATTTAGCAGCTAAACAGCAACTCTGATCACTTTTGTAGGGGAGGGAATCGCCGGCTGAAAATGTTATTTTAAAACTGGGGTTAACCACTTGAACACAATCACATACATGTACATGATTTTGCGGAAAGTGGATGTATACAGTAGAATGCTCATTGGTCCTTGCTCCAGAGGTGTAGCAGTCTAATGCCCTACCAAACGCATACATAAATATACTGTGTGTGTGTATATATATATATATATATATATATATATACACACATATAAATTAGGATCAGTTTATCAGTAGTACATTTTGAGCTGTGGAAGGAACCAGGCACACCCAGGGGAAACCCACCTAAACACAGGAAGAACACACAACTGCATGTACTGTATGTGGTATCTAGTGGTAACAGAACAAAGGATCCCAGTGCTGCAAAGCAAGCATGCTCTTTTCTTGCTCTGCTTGATTCCGTGTGCAGAATAAAGATAACACATTGAAGTAAGCAGGTTCAGCAAGAACAAAACAGACACAGAATACCCAAAAAGGCAGTCAAGCTGTTCAAATAATCCAAAGGATTCCAGTTCAGTCATACCTAAATTCAGACAATACATGGAAAGAAAACAGTGACATAAGATGAGAGGCTGAGATGTGGATTAGATGGATAAGAAACCTCGGGCAGGTTCTGGTGTTCTCTACTAGTCCAGCTGCTATCGAAATACTTGTCAGGCTAAAAAAAAATCTTTTGAGTACTTGGCTGTTCCTAATTATGTTTTTGGGTGGGACTAACGTGGCACTAAGATTCATATATGGTGACACTGACCTATACTTAAGAACCTTTGGAAGCGGCTTATCCCACATATGGTACATTCAGTTATCAACAGGCGTATAGATTGCTTTATCACATTATCCACCTGAAAATCTCTCTAAACCATTGAAGGAAATCTGCACTTACAATTACCCTGATATATGATAGGCTTAGGCAGATTTGGATTAATGAAAAAGTAAAAGCCTGATTGCAGTTCTGTTTTCTCACCAATTTATATTAGTTGTGGTACCCTGTAAGAGAGAACAGTGCTTCTTGTTTAATGTTGGTGAAGGATTCTTGCACACACTGAGCTTTTAGGCCTCATGCACACTGGGCGTTTTTATAGCTGCTGTTTTGGGCGTCAGCCGTTTTTTTTTTACAACCAGCAAACTCCCCAGCATGTTATCCTATGTGTCCATGTGTCCCCTTTTATCAGCATTTTTTGGCAGGGGCGTTTTCCAGCTGGATAAAAAATCCCAGAACTATTGTGTTTGAAGAAGAGTTTTTTCAGCTGTGAAAATGCTCTAATGCTGCAAAATGCAGCTATCCAGCGTTTATGAGCGTTTTTGAGCCTCAAGCTTTTGTGAGAGTATAGTTTTGCTATAAAACGTAAACACTGAAAAACGCTAATTCAAAAAGCTAAAAAACAAAAATTTTTCTATGCATTCTACAGCTAAAGCTACTGGGGTTTTTATAACGTGCAGTGTGCATTCCTACTCTGCTCTCCTCCAAAACTTTCCACTAACCATTTTTTATCTATCAGAAAACCAGGCCGACCATCCCCTCATGCTACCTGATGTAACTAAAAATTAATAAAAGCATTTTCCTCTGTGCTTTCGAAGATGCATAGTTGATGGAACATTTATACATATAGATTGGGTGCCCAAACATTTTTGGTCCTGCATCTACCAGATAAAATATACTATACTAAATATACCTCACCGAAAAAAAAAAACATCAAAGCTTTAGTGAATGAAAAAAACTGTTGTACCAATAAAAAAACAAAATCCACCAAGTCTGAATTAAGTTTGCTTACCTTCATCTTTACTGCCACAAAGCAGGTCTTGGAAAAAGACAATTATTAATTTTGCCTGATCAACCATTGCATGACATATGGGAAAATGGCGGGTACCTTGGATGACAAACTACCTAAATTTCATAATCCTTGGATTACATACAACCTACTGGCAGATTTCAAGTGAACTCTTCTGTTGACTTAATCTTTTATATTTGGGCCCTTCGTGTTCAAACTGCCCCCTCTTTCTTTCACCTGTTCTCCTTGCCCTGCATTCCTCTAGATTCCCGTTATCTACGATAGAAGCTATTCTGCTTTCCCAATTTCTATCGCCCACTTTCTTTTCAATCCAGAGATTGGATATCCCTAGGATTACTATTTTGATAGGTAAGTAATAGGCTGCCATTTTAAGATCTTAAGAGCAGGGGAACAGGCATACCAGACTGACTTGAGCTCTATTTTAAATGTTAAGCTCTCCTCCTATGTTGCTCCTTCTGCTGTCATCCTCAAAACTACATACCCATCCACCGTGACCCTCATCTTCTGTCTGTCAACTCCCTCTTGTTACTCTGTTCTGCGCTAACTTTTCCTTAGGTGATTTTTTTTTACTTTAATGCACTCAGCTGTGCTGTTCCTCTCATTTTTCCTCAATGTTTTCCATCCAAACTTCTAATTTCCAATCTTCCAACAAAAAATTGTTGATGAATGACAGGACTGAGGCTACTTCATTCATGTCAAAACTATTTTTCTATGACACTGCCTGGCTACAATATTGGAGCCAGGGTCTTGAATACAAAAGAAATGTTGCTTTAGATCGGGGTCTCCAAACCTTCCAAACAAAGGGCCAGTTTATTTTTACTTCACACTTTAGGGGGACCAGACTGTGGGCAGTGAGAGTGGAAATTTTCCTGGCATCAATGGGAGTAAACATCGCCACATTTGGTGTTGGGAGGAGAAATAGTGCCCCATTGTTGGTGTCAGTGAGAGAAATAGTGCCCCATTATTGATATCATTGGGAGGAATATTGCCCCATTGTTGGTGTCAGTGGGAGAAATGATGCCCCATTATTGATGCCAGTTGGCAGAATAGTGTCTCAAATCCGTGGGAGGAATGTCCCAAGGGTCTTCTAAATGCAAGCAAAGGGCCACTTCCGGCCCCCAGACTGCAGTTTGGAGACCACTGCTTTAGATTTCATTAATATGCTGTTGTCCTGTTAGATCTAATCCATGATTTTTCCTTCTATTCTCCTTCCTTTCATACTCCTTGTATTTCAAAAAAGGTGCTCATTGATACAGAACACTAAAATTCTAATTTACACAAGTTGAGAAAGGGTATCAACCGTTATTTTTTCTAATAGGAGGGAAAACAGCAGTACATACATGAGTTTGTATACGAAGTTTGCTATCTCGGCCCACTGTTTTAACTGCATCCTCTCTAATTCCCTACATCCACAATTAGATTTTGCTGCTTCCACTCTCTCCTCTCTCCTGGCCATAATCTGCTTCCACAGACTGCTTTCTCCCCTTTGCTGTCTGTGACCTGCTGCTACTGCCATTTGTTTCCCTTTATGTCCATGACCTGGTCTCATGTACTGCACCCCTCTGATTTTAATGCCCCTGTCCCACCACTTCCTCTACATGTTCCTGTTAAAAACCCCAATGTGTTCACCTTCTACTCATTTTACATGCCCTGTGTTACACATGTACTCTCTGTTCTGCATCATCTTGATGCAAATGAATGAAACGAATTAATGAAATTCTCGTGCTTGCTTTGCTTCCTTTGCCCACCTTCAGCTCCAGTTCCCTGTTTTAATCATAAGGTCCTGTCCCTGCTGCTACCATTAGTTTCCTTTTCCTTTCCCCCCACCATTTACTGTCATATCAACTGAACCTTTGGGGAGTGTTCTCCACACTACTTCAATATCAACTGCCATGCCCTGCTCCAGCCTCAAATTTTACCCCAGCAACAGGTCTTTTCCCATCACCATCTGCTCTCATCTTCCACTGCAACTTTTTTGTCCCATGCCACCACTTGGAAGTTTGGAAAGCATGTTGAAAAACCAGATCATTTGGATTTGACCATGTGTACAGCTGTCCAAAATCGAAACCAGGTGCCCTGCTAATCAATTAAATAAAAACACAACACAAAAACTATACAGTTATGACACACAATATGCCAACGTATTTCCATTTTACTAAGATACAATATCACACACAGGTCATTCACCTTCCAATATTATGACCAGCCATGATGTGGAAAACTTCAGTTGTCTTTTGTCTGACAGTGGAGTCTTCATCATTCAGCAAAGTTTTCAGGCTGTCCATGAAACCTATGTAAGAATAAACGTACCTTAAATAAAATACATAAGGGAATATTAAGCCCAAAATAATCTGCTAAATTTACATCTTCCATTTAGCCAGTGAACAAATCAGAAACCCTGGCCAGGATGACAAAAGCATGGTCTGATTGGGGTACAATCCTGTCTCTGCAAGCCCCACTAGGAGAAACGGAACAAAACTTATGTTAAGAAGGAATAATGGATGTGATGTGATGGTAAATACCCACAGTGGGGACAGAGAGAATAAAATACTGAAAAGAGTTCTGTCCTTTCCCACGTCTGTACAAAAAACATTTTTGGCTGGAAAGGACTTAAAAACAATAACTAAAATACAAAACAGCAACCTTGTAAAATGTGAAAGTCATATAAAAAATGTTCATAAAAAGGCTGCAATAATAACTCCTCGCTGAAAATTTCACTTCACATCCACACTTCCTCGTTGAAAATACACTATACTGCTTAAACGTTACCATGAAAGTTATTTATATATCATCTCATCTATCGCAAATCCAAAAAAAATGGTTGTTTATTCCTCAATGAGCAAATAAAGCATTCTATAAAATCTTGATGGGGGACCTGTGAAAATAACAACCTGACAAGTACCACTAAGGCCTCATGCACACTGCTGCTCCTAAATGTGAGTTTAGGAGCTTTTGGCATTTTTTTTGCCAAAAGACCCTGAACTCAACTCAATAAAAACCTATGTATCTATGCACGCATAGGCTTTTATCAGAGTTTAGCAGCAGCAGAGTTTAGAGGCAGTTAAACGGCCCTCTCCGGAATAATCGTGTTCAGGAGAGGAACGTTTTGGCCCAAAAAATGCCAAATGTGGCAAAAACGCGTGTAATGCATGCATGTAAGCACTTCATTTCAATGGCAAGTACCCTGGCTAATGAAATTAACACATTTCCAACTGATAAACACGGAGAAATGCGGCTGAACATTTAGCATTTTTTTTCTGCCAGTAGAGTAAATGTTTATGGCAGTTCTATTGTACATGTAGCCTAAAAATTATAAAAGAGCTTGACTTGGACCACATAGTAAATATACTCTCATTCATGGAAAGTCTCAGTTGATTATCTGATATGAATTCAGCTGCCCTTCATTTGTTAACCCCTTGGCGCTGAAGCCTCTTGGCCCTTTCCTTATACCATGACCCGAGGTGGAAGGAAAGAAAATTGCATAATCTATGGGCTGCTTTACATTTTTTCTCCTCTAAATGCTCCAAATGTTTAAAGTGTAATAGAAGTCCAACATGATGTTATTTCACTGGTATGATGTAGTAGGCACCTCTAGCTGCCTGAAAGTCAGATTTCACATGGAGAACCTGTTGTGGAATCCAGCCATACCACTTGACTTACGATGGAATAATAAGGAAGTTTATTAAAGGACAAGTTCAGTATTTACCTAAAGAAGACCTAGACTTCTACCCAAGCTATAAAAACACTAAGCTCAGCCATTCCTGGTGCTTACGTAACTCCACTAAAGAGGGCACCCTAATACAATGTCTATAACATGGCCAGTAAAAATCTAGCGCAGATTGCCCGTGCCTGTACATATATGTCCTATTGACTTAAATAGGTCATTGCTCTGTATGTGTACTACCTACACAAGTCTATAAGAAGTTATGCTCAGGCATGGGCAGCCCTGCACTAGATTTTTTTCCGACAGGGATGTAGGCATCTCATAAGGTCACTGCTGCCAGTAAAAAAAAAGGAAGCATCTGCAGGTGGGATAAAAATGAAAGCCTGCGATTTGTAAAAAGATACATGTATATAATGCATTAAAAAAGTCAAGGCTTTAATATGCAGGACAGAGGCACCTTAAAAACCAAAAATCTAGCCAGCCCCATCTTGTCTCTGCATCACTAACAGCCATATAATAACCTAAGGTCAGGAAAAAAGTGTATGTTCACTGCCTGGCCTCCACTGAGTTGGCACTGTGTGTACCCTGGCTCTGACATTTAATCTTACAGCCAAGCACTTGGGCTAAATTCAGTACCTTAGCTTTGAAATGGAATCTTACGGCATGGCCTTAGTTATGGAAAGGGTCTAGCCAAAAGGAATGACAGTACCCATCTTCCAAAAGGTAAATGTGTCAGCCACACAACCATTATTCTCCATGCAACTGACTGTAGGATGGCAAATTACATGGCTTGAAGATGCCCCTAAAAAGCCTTTACTGCGCCAATGCCACAAAAAAGCCTGGTTACAAAATGCCCAACAACACCTTGACATGCCTCACCGGGCTTTTCTTGTGGCATTGGCATTATGGCATTTTTGTTCAAGTATCTTCATATTGTCCTCCTTGAAACAACCACACCTTCTTTTTCCAGAGCAGCCTATATTTCTCTTGAGGATACCTGTGGGTTATTTGTATCCCGAACAGTTATGCTGGCAGTTGTGGCTGGAATCTTTCTTGGTCTACCTAACCTTGGCTTGGATTCAAGATATCTCCGAATTCTTCACTTCTGATTGAACAGTACTGACTGGCATATTCAAGGCTTTTGATATCTTTTTATATGCTTTTCCATCTTTATGAAGTTCCATTACCCTGTTACACAAGTCTTTTGACAGTTCTTTTCTGTTTCCCTATACACTGTGCTCAGTGTATCCATGTGAGAGATAACAAACTCATTGACTATTTATACACAGACACTAATTTCAATTTAAAAAAACAAAGATGAGGGAAATTAAACTTTAATTGCAATTTCAACCCGTGTGTACCACCTTGTGTGTCTGTACCAAGGCCAAAAATTCCAGGGTATGTAAACTTTTGATCAGGGCCATTTGAATGATTTCTGTTATCATCATGATTTAAAAAGGAGCCAAACAACTATGTGATAATAAATGGCTTTATATGATCACTATCCTTAAATAAAAGACAGTTTTTTGGCATGATCAGTCATATTGTTAATATCAATGCCAAAATGTCATGATTTCTGCCAGAGTGTGCAAACTTCTGAGCCCAATTGTATCTCAGCGGTGGGCCATCAGGGACAGCAAGGCCTTCCCTACTGGCCTACATACTGCTTATGTGTTATTCCCAGTAGAATATTCTCTTCATTTCATAGCTTTTCACTTGGTTTTACTGCTTCCAGTAGTGTATGTTTATGTTAGAGCTGTTATCCAATCATACTGTATTTCAGCCATGATAGCCATCAGGTGTTGCCGGGTCAAAGAAATCTGCCTTGAGGCCTCCAGAATCAAAAGTGCGGGCATGTGTAGCTTACAGTAAATGGCAATGAAACTGTAGCTTTAACCAATCAGATTTTGAGTTGGCGACACCGGAGCCATCTAGCAGGTGTACATCCACGTCTGCATTTTCACGTTCTTTGATTGGATGGTTGGTCGGAGAGTGGATGGACTTTTTTTTCTGTTTTCAGGAGCAGGCAGATAATCATGCCGTGCCAGTGCACCTTCACAAATAACATTTCCAGTCGGCCACCTACTGTATGCCTTCCCTGGCAGATTGATTGTTATGTAGAACCACTCTGCTCACTCAGTAAGTGCCAGACATGCAGCCTGAGGTAGAGACTGATGTCAGGCGGCTGAGAGGGCGCAGCAGGACTAATCCTGGCAGTGGGTGGTGGTGCACGAGCAAGCGGCCGGGTTGCACACTGTGAGTGATTGAAAATGATTGACACACTAATCTGGATAGGATCCTCAGAGTCCCCAGACTCCCCATTATGATACAGACTGTAACACAGTACAGCCATAAAAAATCAGCACCCAACAGCCATGTGAAACTGTATCAATTCAGGAAAGACTGAATGCCTAGATGTGAAATGCATAGCCTGCCACTGACATATCTGAAGTATACTGTCCACCATCTGTGAAAGGAATGTAGCACACCCCCAAAGGTGCCGCTGATAGAAAACAACCCCCTGAGTATAAATTGGAGCAGGGACTATCAATGTTACCGCTTAAACCACTCTTACACAGCCCCTGACAATGAGCAGAAAACACCAAATCGAGTGATAATGTTATTGTATTAGCATAAAACAGCTTGAACAACAATGAAGCAACACAGTCAAAGAGTAATTCAAAGGAATGCAATGACTGTCTAACACTATACAGAGATCTTCTAATCTACTTATGTCCATGGACAGAAAAGAGGAAAAAGCCCAGGAGATAACCAAGCCCAGATTTCACCAACCTCTTAGTGTAGCTTAAACTGTAACAGGGGCACGAAGGGCACAGTAATGGCAGCAAAAGATGAAGTAGAAAAGACTGCAGACTACGACATCATCAAATCCCCTTTGGGTGACCCAGGTATGTTCAAGTCTGCCTGCAGGACTTTACCGTATATTCAACACTCAGTCCTCCCCAGGAAATGAGGTAAAGTGGATTTAGGTCTAGGCGGCTTAGTTGGAGCCCTTAAGGTGGTGCACAGTTGGTGGAGCTCAGTAGTTCTTGCCTGCTTAGAATTAGTAAGACAGACATAGGAGAAGGGTCTGAAGGGGTTAACTCAAAAGTCAAGCAAATAATTACAACAAGTTCAGGGTGGGACGAGTGGGAATATCAGTGGAGCAGTATTGCGACTGAAGATGTAGTCTTGGAATGTTAATGCAATAGCCTTTAAGGATGGTTTGAGTAGGCTGGATGACTCTCAAGGGACAGTCAGGTAATGAAATGATGAACTAAAGTATCAGTGTCTACTGCACAGTGTGAGGCATGGGTTAACACCCTCTCACCAAACTCCTGCATGACAGTGGTAGGTCCCGGCGATGAAGGGGCCCCTCATGTAGCGATGTGGTGGCTTAGGAGAAGAAAAGATCTGCATACTTACCAGGGGCAGACTGACCATTTGGAAACTCGGGCAGTGCCCGAGGGCCCGGGGTCATTCGGGGGCTCCTATGAGATGCCCCTGGTACCTTTTTCATAGTTTTTTTTGAGTTTGGGCAAGGACACAGGGGCCCCATGATCCCATATTGCCCCAGAGCTGTCAGGGCAGGGGCCGAGGAACGGACAGGCAGGCCTAACAATGTAACGCACTGGCTGACGACAACCACCACCCACAGACCGAAGTCCCTCAGGGCGTGGAGTCTAAGTCCCAGGCTGCCCTTCACCAGGGCCCCTGATGGTGGGGATGGACTTGACGCAGCCAGGAACCAGGTCGCGGCCCCCGAGACACCTCAGCTGCGGTAATGGCCGCTGCCAATGGCGTGTAGCTGGTGGAAGAGACAAAAGAGTAGTCAGACAAGCCGAGTCAACAACAACAGGACAAAACAGTACAGGACAGCAGACAAGAATCACAGGTCACGAGCCGGGTTCAGCAACAGAGGGTCAGATCAAAGGAGAATACAAAGAATAGTCGAGTCACAAGCCGAATCAGATACCAGGAGAGTCACAAGAGTCAGAACAGAGTAATAGCGACACAAAGACACAAGTGCAAAGAGCATGTGCGGGCCACAGGCTTATATGTCATCAGCCACACCCCTCTGGGGGATGGACCACAGAGACCTGAAGGCATAAAAGGATTCCCACCATGCACAGCAGAATCCAAGATGGACGCCAGCACATGGAGTAACAAAACCTCAGGGAAAAGGTAGGACCTTGACAAGAGCCCCATGAGTTGTCAGTCCGCCCCTGATACTTACCTATTTTCAGACCGCTTTAGTCTGGTCATGTGATCTTCCCTGTGTCAGTCAGAGGCGGCTGCAGGGGAATGGGGGGAGAGCATTCAACATAAGCATACTATGGCCCATCTGTTGTTAACGCTCCATCCTCTCCCCTGCAGCCTGTGCTGGCTGACAGAGGGGAGCTGATCATGTGACTGGATCGGAGTGGCCTGAAAATAGATAGGTATACAGATTCTTTACTCCACAGGTTAGTCATAATATGTGTTCAGAAGGGGGAGGGAGAATTTTGAGGAGTAGTTAGGTTTTGACCAGAATTCCACTTAAAATAAGTACCATTAATAAGAATCAGAATGTACATCATAATAATGAAGCATCTCTGTGTGTATAAAGGTATTATTATATCCTGTCTGTCCCAGTATTGACTATTTGGCACACCTTGTGGAATAGGAAAGTGTTTTTCAAATGGAAACTGAAAACATTCAGTCTGGTTTTATAGGACAAGCAATAGGTAAAGTGCAGTGACTCACAGAAACTGAACAGAATTTGTCTTCCAGTTTTGGCAGTAAACAAATTAATGGATATTGTCTTTAAATAAGTGATCACATGAAGCTTTCTCTTTGTTCTAAATAGCAGAGTCTGACAGTGTTATTATTATTACTATTATTATTATACAGGATTTGCTCAGCGCTTTACAATATAACAGGAGACAATACAGCAAAAATACAGTTCAATACAAGAGGGATAGGAGGGCCCTGCTCCTTGGAGCTTACAATCTAAGAGGGAGGTGAGGATAGGACTTACCCAAATGTACTGCCTGATAGACGTACTCTGGATCGTGCACAAGATCACAAAGTGCCATGAGAGCTCTCTGTCGAGTAATTAGGTCAGGGCTTTTCAGTTCCTCATTTAATTTTGGTAAAGCCCTCTCACCAAAGGCAATGGGGGCTTTTGTGGGATCAATGTTGGGTGGTAGGTAAGCTGATATCTTAACTTCAGCCATTCTTATATCACAGAAATACGGGAACCCTATGAATGTTTCTTTGTCCTAAAAAAAGAATAACAATAGAATGTTAGTTACGGTATCATACATATCATTTGATATGTTTTATGTTTTGGTTTAGAGTATGATAGATTTGACTAGACAGATCAGATATCAAAACTGAATAAGGTGTTTAAAGTGGAGTGTTTAAAGTATACGTTCATCTTTGTAAGAACAAAATATATATATAAATATATATACACACAGTATCTCACAGAAGTGAGTACACCCCTCACATTTTTGTAAATATTTTATTCTATCTTTTCATGTGACAACACTGAAGAAATGACACTTTGCTACAATGTAAAGTAGTGAGTGTACAGCTTGTATAACAGTGTAAATGTGCTGTCCCCTCAAAATAACTCAATACACAGCCATTAATGTCTGAACCGCTGGCAACAAAAGTGAGTACTTTGAACATTTGATGAATGGATGAATGTCATTCGAAAATTGTGTTTTGCTTTTAACATTCGACTTTAAGTGCTTCCCGTCTACCCTATAGCAAAAATACTGTTACAGGGAGGCACAGGTGTGCAAAATCACGTATATTTATGTGATTTTCAATCCATGGGTAGGGGGCGCACGTGAGCAGTGCGTGCGCCCTACGCGCGCCGCCATTTGCAGCTGCGGCTGTCAATCACTGGATCCCGTTCAGTAATTACTTGCCGGCGCCCGGTGATTTCCGAAGATCTCCGACAGGAAGGAGGACTGTTTTGTTTACTAACAGTCCTCCTCCCTGTCAGCTCGTGCACACTGCTCTGTCACTAGGGATATCAGTGTCACCAAGTTAGTTCGCCCCAGTGTCAGAATGCCTGCCGCAGTCCCTCTATAAGTTGCGCTATAAGCACGTGCCCTACCCACGCTGCCATTTGTGGCCGCGGCTGTCAATCACTGGGTCCCAGCCGATGATCTCCAAGGGGGAGGAGCACTGTTTTGTTTACTAACAGTCCTCCTCCCTGTCAGCTTGTGCACACTGCTCTGTCACTGGGGATGTCAGTGACACCAAGTTAGTTCCCCCCAGTGTCAGATTGCCCGCCTCAGTCCCGCTCAGGGGCGGACTGACCATTTGGAAGCTCGGGCACTTGCCGAGGGCCCGGGGTCAGTAGGGGGCCCCATCAGATGCCCCTGGTACCTTTTTCATAGGCTTTTTTGAGTTTGGGCAAGGACACGGGCCCCATGAGTTGTCAGTCCGCCCCTGGTCCCACTATAACTTTGTGGGACTACACAGTTAACCCTTTGATCGCCCCTCATGTTAATGCCTTCCTGCCCAGTGCCATTACTAGTGTCAGTGCTTTTTATTAGCACTGATCACTGTATTGTGTCACTGGGGATGTCAGTGACACCAACTCAGTTCCCTTCAGTATCAGAATGCCCGCCACAGTCCCACTATAAGTTGCTGATCACCGCCATTACTAATAAAAATTAAGACTAAAAAAAAAAAAAAAATCCCAGTAGTATATATACCGCCATTTGTAAACGCTATAACTTTCACGTAAACCAATTATTTACACATATTGGGAATTTTTTAGCGCAGACATGTAGCAGAATACATTTTGGCCTAAATTTATGACGAAATTTGATTTTTTACATTTTTTACTGGACATGTTTAATAGTGAAAAGCCAAAAATATTGTTTTTTTTTTCTCAAAATTGTCGGTCTTTTTTTTTTATAGCGCAAAAAATTAAAAACATAGAGGTGATCAAATACCACCAAAAGAAAGCTAAATTCGTGAGGGAAAAAGGACATAATTTCATGTGGGTGCAGCATTGCATGACTGCGCAGCACCGTAACGCAAAAAACGGCCTGGTCAGGAAGGGGGGTAAATCCTCAAGAAGACAAGTGGCTAGAGGAGTGGAGTGTGCTGGGAATGCTGGCAGGGGGTACTGGAGTAGACGGGGTAGACATGCTCACCGACCGCAGATCGCAGCAGCTGCCTGTCCTCATTTAGTACCGCACACAGCGTACTCCGGTTGCCAGGCAACCTTACTCACCGGCGCACGCAGCGTAATCGGGAATAACAATTTACGCTAACGTTGTAGTTGTAAGAAATAGCAAATACGTAACTTGCATTGGACTTCCAAAGACGCTGCTAATAACAGACGTACTTAGAATAGTTACAAGCCGCATATGTCCCTGAATTCCCAGTCTTTTGTATAAGCGTGGACTCTAGTCCTATCACCAATACTAAGTGTAATTCGGAGATCATATTATATCCATCAGAGAGACAAGCCGTCTACAGATATGTTAGCCCCGCCCACAGAGACCTTCCATGAGCCTCCCCCTTCTGGTCCTCCAAAGCCACAGAAACCACGCCCATGGCTTGCTAGCCGTTTCCTTGGTAACCGTGGAGTGCCCTGGCATAGCCAGCACCGCTAGTCCGAGCTGTTGTGTACACCGGCGGCCCCTCTGTGTATTCCCGGAGATCGTAGAGCTGGACCATGCTGAGCCCGCCGGCATCACCCGTCCCACGAGACAGGCTCATCAACCACATGCCCAAGGCAAGTCACCCCCTACCTCCCAGCGAGGGTTGTCCCTGCACTGGGAAAGTGTCCCTGGAATTATTCTCCTCAGTCTAATGCTCTTACCTCCCAGGGTTCTCATCTTCTGCACTACATCAGGGGTCTCCAAACAACAAGTCTAGCCCGCTGAAAGGGACCCTGATGGAAGAGGGGATTCTGATGGGGACCCTGATGTATGGGGGACTCTGATATGCGGGGGGCTCTGATGGGAAATCTGATGTAGGAGAGAAGTCCAAAGTAAGGGGGCACTGTTACAGAGACTCTGATGTGGGGGGGGGGGGGGGGACTCTGATGGGGAACCTAATGTAAAGAGGATTCTTATGGGGACCCTGATGTAGGAGAGAAGTCCAAAGTAAGGGAGAGGGGTTCTTATGGAGATCCAGATTTAAGGGGGGACCCCTATGTGAGGGGGGCTTTCATGGGTAACCTAATGTAGAGAGGACTCTGATGGGGACCCTGATGTAGGAGAGAAGTCCAAAGTAAGGGGGAGGGGCTCTTATGGAGATCCAGATTTAAGGAGGGACCCCTATGTGAGGGGGGCTCTGATGGGTAACCTAATGTAGAGAGGACTCTGATGGGGACCCTGATGTAGCAGAGAAGTCCAAAGTAAGGGGGAGGGGCTCTTATGGAGATCCAGATTTAAGGGGAGACCCCTATGTGAGGGGGGCTCTGATGGGTAACCTAATGTAGAGAGGACTCTGATGGGGACCCTGATGTAGGAGAGAAGTCCAAAGTAAGGGGTGCTCTTACAGAGAGCCAGATGTAAGGGGGGACCCTGTTGTGAGGGGGGCTTTGATGTGGAACCTAATGTAAAGAGGACTCTCATGTGGAACCTACTGTAAAAAGGACTATGATGGGGACCCTGATGTAAGAGAGAAGTCCAGAGAAAGGGGGGATTCTTACGGAGACCCTGATGTAAGGGGGGACTCTGATGGGGACTCCAAAGTTAGAGGGGACTCTTATGGGGACCCTGATCTAAGGGGCACTTTGATGGCGACCTTGATGTACGAGGGCACTTTGATGGGGAACCTGATGTACGGGACAACTCTGATGGGGACCCTGATGTAAGGGGGACTCTGGTGGGGACCCTGATGTAAGGAGGACTCTGATGGGGGATCCTGATGTAAGTGGGCACTTTGATGGGGACCATGATGTAAGAGGGACTCTAATATGAGGGTGGACTCCAATGTAAGGGGACTTCAATGTAAGGGGGGACTTTGATATGGACTCTGATGTAAGATGGAACTCTGATGGGTATTGCCGGTACAAAATCATTCAAACTGTGCCGCCCGCCCCCCCTTCCCCCAGAGTCATGATGTGCAATCTTAGGGGATCCTTTGCCCAGCAGTCACTCTCTTGTCAAAATCACTGCCACTGCCACTTCCCCTGTACCTTCTAACAGAAGGAATGTGCCCCCATCCCTACAGCAAACCATTGCTTCCAGGGCAGCCGCCCCTTCCGCCCACCCCTTGTCCCAGCCTTGCTGATGGGGACCCTGTTGTAAGGTGGGACTCTAATATAAGGGGGTTATGATGGGGAATCAAGTTTATTTGGAAGTATTTTGCTTTGCTTTACTGTTGTTCTCAACCATATCATGCTATGTACAAACAAACCCCATGGAAAACAGGTTCATTTATTTAAGTTAGATTTGTTCATTTATAAAAGTCATTTTTTTGGCCCTCATATATTTGTACAGTATAAGTGTAATGTCATACTGAAAAGTTTGGAGAACCCTGTGGTTGATCCAGTATTGCTGTAGTGCAGTCCTCTTTCCATAGAAAGTGATCAGTAATCCCCCTGTATGATGATATGAATGTGCTGGGTACAGTTGTTATATGCTCTTTAAATATTTCTGCTGTTTCGCCTGGTTTACACTAGTATGGGCCATGCAGCCCGCGTTTGCTCGGGCACAGCAGGTCTATTCATCTGATTGGGCTGCTGTGCCACATGTTCCGCACAAAAAAAGGTTCAGGTCTTTGTGACCATGCGGTTTCCCCGCAGTTCCCACACCCGCAATTGTGCTGCGATGCATGGGGGGGGGGGGTGTTCCATTCAGAATCAATGGCAGCCCTGCACGTCTCACAGGAGCAGTGCAATTCAGCTGCGGGTGGTTCCGGGAACATGTGCGATTCCTGCACCCATAACCAGTACGCAGCCCATACACCATCATATACATCTCCACTGGGCAGCATGTGCTGAATGTTCATATTCTGTCTATATTTGCTATGTCCTCAGGGAATACTCATGTTCACATTCCTCCCAACCTTCTGGCAGAGGGACACATGAACAGCATGGATTATTTAGCCAATCTCCATACTTCTTCCAGATCCCCAGATCACACCGGCCATGGCAAATTAAAGCTAAACAATGATTGTTTAAAGTAGAACAGAAGGCAACCTTTTTCTCATTTTAGATAGAGTAAGGGAGGACTTTGACCCTTTATTTTCCATCTGTGTACCATTGGGGGATTCCTTTTACTTCCTGTCCCATAGCTACTATAGGAAGTGGGAGGAAATCCCTCCAAAGTGAGGGAATCCCTGGTTGTCACCAAAACTCTTAGATTGTAAGCTCCAAGGATCAAGCCCTCCTAACCCTCTTGTATTGAACTGTATTGTTTCTGTATTGTCTCCCATTATATTGTAAAGTGCTGAGCAAACTGTTGGCGCTATAAATCCTGTATTATAATAATAATAATAATAATTAGTGTCTCCTTGGAAGGTTTCCCCTCTCTTCCTGTTCTGCTGACCACTCACAATTTGGGATTTTAACTTTTGGTGAGAGCTGTAACTGGGACAAACAGAGAGGGTGAAACTACCTAACAGGGACACAGCAATAAAAACCTGACAGGTGTTCTAATCCCTCTTCACTCTATCAAAACTAAAAAAAAAGAAGAAAAAAGTTTTGCCTTTAGTTATACTTGAATCCCAATGGAGACTTTTTCATCTCTCCGTCCTTCATATTAGTGTATAAAAGGAATCATTGGAGGTGTGGATGAAATGTTTACTGCTGTGAACAAGGTTGGCAGTGATATATATATACAGGTGAAACTCGAAAAATTAGAATATCGTGCAAAAGTTCATTTATTTCAGTAATGCAACCTAAAAGGTGAAACTAATATATGAGATAGACTCATTACATGCAAAGCAAGATAGTTCAAGCCGTGATTTGTCATAATTGTGATGATTATGGCTTACAGCTCATGAAAACCCCAAATCCACAATCTCAGAAAATTAGAATATTACATGCAATCAATAAAACAAGGATTGTACATAGAACAATATCGGACCTCTGAAAAGTATAAGCATGCATATGTAGTCAGTACTTGGTTTGGGCCCCTTTTGCAGCAATTACTGCCTCAATGCGGCGTGGCATGGAAGCTATCAGCCTGTGGCACTGCTGCGGTGTTATGGAAGACCAGGATGCTTCAATAGCGGCCTTCAGCTCTTCTGCATTGTTCAGTCTCATGTCTCTCATCTTTCTCTTGGCAATGCCCCATAGATTCTCTATGGGGTTCAGGTCAGGGGAGTTTGCTGGCCAATCAAGCACAGTAATCCAACGGTCATTGAACCAGGTTTTGGTGCTTTTGGCAGTGTGGGCAGGTGCCAAGTCCTGCTGGAAAATGAAGTCAGCATCCCCATAAAGCTCGTCTGCGGAAGGAAGCATGAAGTGCTCCAAAATCTCCTGGTAGACGGCTGCGTTGACCCTGGACTTAATGAAGCACAGTGGACCAACACCAGCAGATGACATGGCTCCCCAAATCAACACAGACTGTGAAAACTTCACACTGGACTTCAAGCATCTTGCAGTGTGTGCCTCTCCATTCTTCCTCCATACTCTGGGTCCTTGGTTTCCAAATGAGATGCAAGAGTTGCTCTCATCAGAAAAGAGGACTTTGGACCACTGAGCAACAGACCAGGTCTGTTTTTCGTTAGCCCAGGTAAGACGCTTCTGACGTTGTTTGTTGTTCAGGAGCGGCTTGACAAGAGGAATATGACATTTGAAGCCCATGTCCAGGATCCGTGTGTGTGTGGTCACTCTTGATGCACTGACTCCAGCCTCAGTCCACTCCTTGTGAAATTCCCCAACACTTTTGAATGGCCTTTTCCTGACAATCCTCTCCAGGATGCGGTCATCCCTGCTGCTTGTGCACCTTTTGCTTCCACACTTTTCCCTTCCACATAACTTTCTATTAATGTGCTTTGATACACTTTGGGAAAACCCAACTTCTTTTGCAATTGCCTTTTGAGGCTTTCCCTCCTTATGGAGGGTGTCAATGATGGTTTTCTGCACAACTGTCAGGTCAGCAGTCTTTCCCATGATTGTGATTCCTACTGAACCAGACTGAAAGACCATTTAAAGGCTCAGGAACCCTTTGCAGGTGTTATAGCTTAATTAGCTGATTAGAGTGGGACACTTTGTGCCCAGAATATTGCACCTTTTCACAATATTCTAATTTTCTGAGATTGTGGATTTGGGGTTTTCAGGAGCTGTAAGCCATAATCATCACAATTATGACAAATCACGGCTTGAACTATCTTGCTTTGCATGTAATGAGTCTATCTCATATATTAGTTTCACCTTTTAAGTTGCATTACTGAAATAAATGAACTTTTGCACGATATTGTAATTTTTCGAGTTTCACCTGTATATATATAATACATATATACAGATATCTCCGCCAGAGCTAAGACAGTGACATTTGTGGAGGCATCATGGACAGAGAGAATTGGTTACACAAAAGGGACAGTTCCTTTAAATGAGGAACAGCTGGGAGATATACATGCCTGTTCCATGCTCATCAAACTGGGCAGCCATTTATATAGTTGTCTCTTCTTTTGTTTGGGATTTAAGATACTCTCCTTGGATTACAGGAACATTTGCAGTGAATATGTATTGTTTTACATTGCAGTGTTACACAGCTGAAGCTTCCCTGCACTACAGAACAAATTTTGATGATCAGGTGAAGAATGTGTGCCAGCAGCGCCATGCTGGACCCTTTGGGTGAGTTTGGACATGGAAAACATATATTTTTCTTGTGCTCTCATTATTTATCAATAAAGGGTCAGTCCACCCATGAATCGTATTTTATTTATGGGTGGGTCATCCCCAGGCTTCTACCATAGTGAGCTCTCCATGCCATGTATCTGAGCTCTGTTCCTGTCCTCCTCAAAGTTTTAGGTGATCCCATCCACCTTCATTTGCTCCAGCAATATTTATTTATTTCAGGTACTTATATATTGCTGTCAATTTATGCAGCGCGTTACATATATATATATATTGTACATTCACATCAGTCCCTAATCCTCAAGGGGTGTACAATCTAAAAGTCCCTAACTTGCATTCATACATACACATACTAGGGACAATTTAGACAGGAGACAATTAACCTACCAGCATGTCTTTGGAATGTGGGAGGAAACCAGAGTATATGGAGGAAACCCACGCAGGCACTGGGAGAACATGCAAACTCCAGGCAGGTGGTTCTGTGGTTGGGATTTAAACCAACAACCCTAGTACTGCCAGGCGGAAGTGCTAACCATTAAGCCACTTTGCTGACCCTACTTGTTGCATTCTCCCTAATATGAAAAAAAAAAGCCATCAGGGAGAGTAATGTTACCTTTTTATGGCAGATGTAGGTGAGTAGACCCAGGAACTCTAGTGTAGAGATCTCACCAAAAGAGCCCATAATGCCCATTCACACTATCATGTTACGGTAGTGTGTGCATTATAGCATGTTACAACAATGCGTGTTACATGTGTTAGTGTGATGCTTTGCCATTCTTTCTGAATGGCACCTCAACGTACCTTGCCAAGGGAAATATGTTGCAGCATGGTGACATGAATCTGCATAGCAGTGCACTGCCAAAGATGCTGCTTGCACAACTTTTAGTCTGTTGTGGTGCATTGAGCAGCCAAATGAATGTACCACAGTGAAGCAGACTTTTATGAATGGGTCATTTAAAATATTTGTCAGGTGGTTTAATTTTCCAAAAAAATAAAATATAATATTTGGTTGAAACAGCCCTGTAATGCAGATTTCTCATGCTCACTTAAAGCAGAACGTCACTGAAAAACTGAAGTTCCACTGTTCCTTTTCTTCTTTTTTTTTTGGAAGGGGGGGTGGGTGTGACGATCACGGCATCAGACCCCAGCCCTTCTCACCACACTCGTGACCGAAGGACTAGCCAATCTAAAACCACGCTGTCACATGCGTAACAATGCCACGCCCAGCTGCACCCTGCACAAAGATTTTCCAGCTAATGGACCACAATCGATGTACCTGCAGCCTGAGCGCGATTGTTACTGGGTCAGGTTAATTACGCAATTAACCCTTCACACTGCCACTACCTCCTTTTTGTACAGAGAAAGAGGAAACTCTTTATCGCAATATCAGCAATAACACTATGATGTTTGATTAATCGTCGGTATACCACTGTCACCGCAGGCAGAGATATACTGAAGTTTAAAACACCCACACAGTTGCGTTCTTCAGAGGCAGGAATTGGTAGTTTGCATTAAAGGGCTTTAGAAACAGTTCAACACTTTCAGAAAGTAAGATTTATTACTAAAAGGTCAAAAGGGTGCAATAAAAATATTTACAGAAAAAGATGTAGCCAATATATATATAAATATACAGAGAACAACAGCACAGTAAAGAGATAACAGAAAGAAGTTTAGGTAGATAAAGTACTTGCCAAAAAGCCTTGGGTTAAGCAGCTTCAAGTTTCATGAGCCAAACAGATTTCTTATCTCCCACTGTCAGTTCCGATGTTAAAACAGGGGGAATCTTCAAATCTTACCCACACTCAGCTTAGCTTAGCTTTTTCTAGCAACTCCACAGGGTGTCTCCCTGGGGCAGTAAACCAATCGCCTAATTTAGGGAGGGAGGTGTAGGTGGAGACCTAAGCTATGACCAAAAACTCTCATAGCTTTTATTATGATTCGTAACTTATTCTCGGGGCATTTAGCAGCCTTGCCACTAGTAGATTAATATGCAGACACATCTGCTGAACGGTTAGATATGAAATATGAAATCCCCGCTTGAATGATTCAGGAGATATAATTTTCTGCCCTTCTGTATATGTCAGACAGGGGGTGCAATATATCAGGAAACTTGTCTTAACGTCAGCCGTCCGAATATGTGCTCCATGTTTAAGTATGTCCTATTTGAAGATATCACTTATATGAAAAAGTGAGTTTTTAAATGCAAGTCTGTTTTTACGACCCCATGGAATGTCTTTTGAACTCAGTGAACGACTTGGTTTATGGCTTTACGAGCCCAGTTTGCGAAGTTAACAGACAGCTAGGCCCCAGCTCGGTTGTGGGATTTATAGCCGTGACGCCCTCCCATTGAGTCTGCTGCCTGTGATCTGCATCAAACTGACCACATGTCACTCAACAGAGAGGGAGGGGGGATAAGGAAAGAGGGAGAGAGATATAAGATGGAGGGTTGGAGCAAAATGGATGACCGCGTCCATCTCTGTGTGTACGATTGCTACAGTGGGTACCTAGTTTTAGTCTAAAATCGCCTAGGTGATTCCAGTGAAAGCTCGCCCCTCTCTCTCTCTGGTCGCAATCTTCTGGAATACATGACAGGTTCCAGAAGGCTGCGGGATCATTCTCACTGTGCAGCACGGCTCATACATGCAAACAGGCTTTGCAGCCAGTTATCCACACTGCATGGCACCTCCGGGTACCCAAAGACTGGCATAGAACCGGCCCAGGTGAGGACAGTGCTGGATCCCTGGACAGGTAATGTCTTCTTATTAAAAGTCAGTAGCTACAGTGTTTGTAGCTGCTAACTGTCAAATTTTTAAAAACTGACTGGAGAACCACTTTAAGACTTACTTTTCCTGGATCTTCTACATAAGCCGTTGTGCTGGGGTATATAATTATCATTATTATTAATCAATGTCTTAATATGGTACAATAGAAGCAGCCATCTGATAAGTAGCTGTGGGCAACAACTCAACTTTTTCTTTTACTTTCTAAGCTACAGTTGCTACTTTTCATCTGTTCAATTTACATACCATACCTTGGTAGGCAGCATTCACACCTGTATGTTTCCAGAATGCATGCAGAAATGCGCAGGAACACACGTTTTTGTGCATTCCTGCTACATGAAGTGTGAATGTGGCCTTAGTTGGGTAATTACTACTCTTTATGCAATCTCAAACAGAAAGAACATAAATGTATGATCTTGCTCTGCTTGTAAATTTTATTTATATTAAAGTGTTACTAAACCCAGAACAGTAAAATCAGTCTATATATGCAGTAAAGTATGCTTGTTATACTCATTGTGGAACTTAAGGGGTTATTCCTCTGCATTGTGTAAAAAGGATGTTTGATCCTGTCTTCTCTGATCCTCCCCTTTTTCCACTGCCCCAGACTCATCTACTGATAGAACAGAACTTTGGAGGCAAGCTGCACATGCTCAGTTTGGCGTTTATTGCTAGAGATTTGTTTTCTTAGGGAGGGTGCATGCGATTAGCACAGGGCCAACCAGCACTGTCCAGACAGAGGGTCAGGGGTCCTGTAGCCTCATAGGATTGTGAGAAGAGAATGGAAACTCTTCCTGCAAGCATTAACCAGAGCTCTGCTGGACACTGATATAAGTCACAAGACTGTTCTAACTGCTGATGAGAAAAGGTATTTAGCAGTTTATATTTACTAAAATAATTGTATTTCCATGTTATGTGTACTGTGGGAGATCAAGTATAGTGAATGCAGAGTCCTGGGTTTGGTAACACTTTAAAGTCCAATTCTAGGTTAAATGTATCCTCCCTCCCATACCCCTTTGTCAGATTACTGAGTTAGCAAAAGAAAAAAAAAATCTCTCATTCCCATTTTCAATTACCTGAAGCTACAGTCATGTGATCATCCAGCACCAGGTTCTTCAACTCACTGCTTACCTGCTGGTGGGTCCTTTTACTGCCTGTGTGATGTGGACAATTGGCTGATTGGCTAGCCAATGGTGGGGTCCACTAGGGATCCAAAAAAGATCTGATGTTGGATTGAAGGGAGTGAAAGGGACTGGCCAGCGAGCGTTATCATGTGGTGCTAGATTAGCAGAACCTGCAGGTGGAAATGGTGTTAGCAAGGTATCTGGATGGGGGACTCAGGTGAGTATACCTGACTTTACTAGATAGAGAAAAGTTATCAGCTGGCAGGATGGGTTAGAGTGCTGGGAGGGATGGATGGGAAAATAATTAGTTTACAGATAAATTAGGGTTCAACTTGGTGGGTGTTCTAGCAAATCACTGCATTTGACAAGAACAGGTTGCCACTTATCTGGGTTGCCTGCAGTTCAAACACACCTCACTAGGACATGCTGCATTCTAAGAAATGCAGTGCAATGCAAAGCAGGTCAAACACAGCCTTTGAATGCACCTGTCAGTGAACTGTGAGTAATCTCAGGTTCAGACTTATGCCAAAGGTCTTGTTCACACAGGCGGACTTATGTGTACCACGGCCCTCTTTACCAACATGGGATGTATGGTTTCTCTACGCATCCACGTGCAGGCAATCCCATTCATGTCTCTTGGGACAAAGCAGTTGCACAGACACAGCTGCTGGTTCTGATTTGACAGTCATGCGTTCCTGTACACATTCGGTCTGCATTCAGTGAAACGTACCTACACGGCTGTCAAATTAGAACCAGCGGTTGTGTCCATGCAACCACTGCATCACAATAGATATGAATGGGACTGTCTACACACAGATACATGGCACACCACTGTGCGGGCAAAAATGATCCCTAGCAGGGATGGATGCAGGGGTGGACTGACAACTCATGGGGCCCCCAGGCAATAGGGGATCATGTGGCCCCTGGGCAATAGGGGATCATGGGCCCCTGTGTCCTTGCCCAAACTCTAAAAAGCCTATGAAAAAGGTACCAGGGGCATCTCATGGGGCCCCCTACTGACCCTGGGCCCTCGGGCAGTGCCCGAGTTTCCAAATAGTCAGTCCGCCCTTGGATGGATGCATAAGTACTTCTGTGT